CCGCCTCCTGCATGCCCCACACTGGGGATCAGGCCCACAACCTGGGCATGTGCCCTGACTGGGAATTGAACTGGCGACCTCTTGGTGCATGGGTTGACGCTCAACCACTGAGCCACACTGGCCGGGCCCATTTCAATATTTTGAAGATTCTGCAGGTCTCCTTGTCTTGTGACTCTTTTCGTTGTACTTGAGCATGATTGGAGACCACCTGGGGGTTAAGAGTCGGAAAGTCCTGCAGGTGACTGAGCAAGGTTCATGTCCTGTGCTCACTATGATGACACCAGCATGCTCTTCTTGGAGGTGGCAAGTCTGTCACCCAAGTGGTGGCAAGACTTTCAGCTTCTTGGAGGAGGAGCTAGAAGCTTCCCGAGCTGCAGGTTGCAAACCGATGAGCCACAGCCCATTATGGCTCAGGTGTGTTTCTCTATCCCATACAATGCTTTCTAGGGTTTCGAGTCAGTTGCCTACATGTCAATACTGACATATTTTGCATAAAAATAAGAGTTATGGTCATTGTTTTGTTTATTTTTAATTGGACTATCTGGCAGCCTGGGATCCACATTCCATGACAGTAACTTTTGGCCAGAGCAGAGTGGAGCCCAAGGCAGCTCAAGTTCTCTTTCATTTCACCCAGACTCGCCTGGTCCTTCCTACAGTTCCCCTGCATAGTGCATGTATGTTCCCTGCCAGAGGTAATGGGGAGCCATCAAAGGCCTTGGAGGTGGGGAGTGAATATACTATTCAAAGTATAGCATTTAGGGTTGGAAATCCTGGCTCCGGTTTTGACTCTGCTGATCCTGAATAAATCACTCAACTACTTTGATTGTTGCGGTACTAATTTGGAAATAAATATAGCAACCTCTTTCAAAAGGTGACTGTGAGGATCCAGCAATAATGTAATTTTTAAAACACAAATGAAAGTTCCATGAAGTCAGAGACCCTGGCCGTCATGTTCCCTGCTGGACAAAGTCCAGCAAACAGTAGGCATTCAGTGCATGCATACTGAATAGATGAATGAACAAATAATGGTACTTTGACAGCCAGGCACACAACAGGTGCTCAATATATGCATAGTGAACAAGGGAGTGAGTGATACATATCAGTGCCTCTGGCGCAGGGCACACAGCAGGTGTTCAATACATGTATATTGAATGAATACTATGTATCAGCACTCTAGTGACTGGCATACAGCAGGCACTCAATACATTACTGTTGAATAAATAATCGAATGAGCCCTGGCCAGTTTGGCTCAGCAGTTAGAGTGTCGGCCTGCAGTCCAGAGAGACCTGGGTTTGGTTCCCACTAAGGGCGTGTACCTTGGTTGCAGTTTGTCCCCGGTCCTAGTTGGGTCATGTGGGTGGCAGCCAATCGATGTGTCCCTTTCATGTCGATGTTTCTCTCTCTCTCTCTCTCTCTCTCTCTCTCTCTCTCTCTCTCCCTCTCCCTCTCTCTCCCTCCCGCCCTGTCTGAACAAAAAATGGAAAAATGTCCTCGGGTAAGGATAATAATAATAATTGAATGAGCAAAATTAATGAATGTATAATGTCTGTGCATCTAGTTCTAGAGCCTGGAATACAGGGGATGCTCAATAAATAAAGATGGAAAGAAGGAAGGAAGGGGCCAGAGGGAGGGAGGGAAGGAGGGGTTAACAATCTGAAAGACAGAACAGATGTTAGATAGAATGACATGTCTAGTTAATGAGAAGCCCAAAGGACATTCTTACAGAGTCCCAAGCAGTGCTTGGCTGGGGCTTGCGGGCAGTGCCCGTGGTTTTGCAATAGCCATGGCAGTCCTCACAAATGGCTGCTGAGTTCTCATTTTCTGGGCAGCTGGGAAGCCCTGGCATCAGAAGACAAATGCAGAGCCAGCTGCAATCTGCTGTGACCCGACAGGACGGGTCAGCGTGCCTGTCTATGGTGCCTGACATGCGGATCACCAGTGACCTCATTGGGATCGCACAGGCGGCCCTGTGAGGGAGGCTTAGCTTCCATGCCCCAGTCTGGGTGCTCTCTTCTCTTCTCTTCTCTTCTCTTCTCTTCTCTTCTCTTCTCTTCTCTTCTCTTCTCTTCTCTTCTCTTCTCTTCTCTTCCCTTCCCTTCCCGTCCCTTCCCTTCCCTTCCCTTCCCTTCCCTTCCCTTCCCTTCCCTCCCTTCCCTCTCTTCCCTCTCTTCCCTCTCTTCCCTCTCTTCCCTCTCTTCCCTCTCTTCCCTCTCTTCCCTCTCTTCCCTCTCTTCCCTCTCTTCCCTCTCTTCCCTCTCTTCCCTCTCTTCCCTCCCTTCCTTCCCTTCCTTCTCTTCTCTTCCTTCTCTTCTCTTCCTTCTCTTCTCTTCTCTTCTCTTCTCTTCTCTTCTCTTCTCTTCTCTTCTCTTCTTCTCTCTCTCTCCTCTCCTCTCCCTCTCCTCTCCTCCTCTCCTCTCCTCTCCTCTCCTCTCCTCTCCTCTCCCCTCTCCTCTCTCTCTCCTCTCCTCTCCTCTCCTCTCCTCCTCTCCTCGCCTCTCCTCTCCTCTCCTCTCTTCTCTTCTCTTCTCTTCTCTTCTCTTCTCTTCTCTTTTCTTCTTTTCTCTGCTGCTAATGGTGTTCTGTTTCTGATTCAAGACTCTTTGGGTTCCAAGGAAGAAAATCTCTATTGAGTTATCTTAAGCCAAAAGAAAGGAATTAAGTATATGTGTGGCAGGTACCTACTTCATAGTCATGGGTTTAGGGGTGCATAAGTGTTGCTTTATTACTATTGCAATAGATCAGGGCTTCTTACTGTAATGATTCTTGTCCTACTGTTCCCTTATGTACATAGTATCTTTATTTGTATCAACTATTGGCTTTTTTTTTTTTTTTTAATGAAATGAATTTTTTTGAAAAAGAAACTTTACAGAGTCTTAAATGAGAAATCAGCCCTGGCTGGGTTGGCTTATCGGTTAGAGTGTCGGCCCACAGTCCAGAGAGACCTGGGTTTGGTTCCTGCTAAGGGCACGTACCTCGGTTGCAGTTTGTCCCCGGCCCTGGTTGGGTCGTGCGGGTGGCAACCACTCGATGCTTCCCTTTCATGTCGATGTTTCTCTCTCTCTCTCTCTCTTCCTCTCTCTCCATCCCACTCTGTCTGAACAAGAAATGAAAAAATGTCCTTGGGTGAGGATTTAAAAAAAAAAGAAATCAGTAACAACTACCCTAAGGAAATAGCTACAAAAATAAATACAATGAAGGTAAAACAATGTTATTAAATTCTGGCTGATTATCATTGCCCAGCTGCTCTGTGTTAAAAAGAGAGATGAGTAGGTGGTCACCCAGGTGTTCAAGACAGACTAGCACCACCCGGATGCTTCCTTTTGGACATCATCAGAAAGTGAATATTGAAATGAAAAAGAAATCACTTTCGTGCAAGGTGATTCAAAATTATTTAAAATATTCTCTCTCCTACTTAAAATAATTTCCCAAAAGACCCGAAATCATCTGGTAGACTTCCAAATTTCCTCTCTAGTCCTTTTAATTTAGTTTAAGGTTTTATAGCTAAAATCACATGCTTCACACTTTTCCCCTAAAGAGTCCCCAGGGGCTGGAGAGTGAGCTCAACCCTGGAGATGTGGGAGGAGCTTCAGAGAGAGACCTGCCCCTCATTGCAACTCTCAAACCCTCATAAATTTGTGTTCTACTCTGTAACAGGTTTGCTGTTGGTCGTTAGGTAAACACTATCATTTAAACTATGTTGACCCTCAGTTCTTTCTCCATCTCCAGGAACACACGCCATGTTTTTCTTGCAGCACTGGGTCCCCAGGTAGTTCTTAACCTTGTCAAACACAATGTCCCCTTTATTTTTAAAAGTGTTATTGAATTTTTAATAAGGTTACTTAATTACCCAGCAGTAATTTCAAAGATTAAATGAAATAGCCACTCACATAATTTAAAAAAGAAATTGGTTAGAATGTCCTCGCTATGCTCTGAGGGAGGGACTTTTTGAAAGGAGATCATTAATAATGGAAGATGTATTTTCAAAATGCAAATGTTCATGCACAACTCTGCCTAGATGATAAAAGGAAGGAATGAATATCTGCCCCTGATTATAAATAAGCTTGAATTTCACTGAATCTTGTTGATGTTTTTTCTTTAGAGTTGACACTTGGGAATGAGATTCAGAGGAGGCTATTCATAGGGACACAGTGAAGCCCTGTGAACGCAGCTGAGATGCTCCCTCTGCGACTCAAACGCTATACACAGTGTTGCCACTGACAACACGGTTTTCTGAAATGAACAGTTTTGTCAACTTCCAGATAAAGCAAAACACAATCTTCCTTTGATTTACCTGGACGTTGTCTTCCTGAAAAATTAAGTATCGCATATTCAAGTTAGACCCCTACCAAAAGCCTGTTTATACGTAAATGGAGCAGAGATCGAGGTGGAGATAACCCCAGTGTTTTCAGCGGCTGATGGTTGGGTGGGGAGTTTGATTTGAGCTGGTGTAGAAAGCAGGACAAGTCTTATTGGGTCTCATGCACGGTGGGACATCTTACACCTCTGAGCCCTGCCTATAAATGCCAATCATTGGGACAACCAAGAATGCCCCACAGTTTTGTCACATACCTCCTAGGGGTTGGCAGCACCCACATAGAGAACTCTTGGTTATATAGGTTACCCTTTAACATGGCCCTATTGGTGACTTTATTTTATCTTATTTTTGTTAATCCTTACCGGAGGATATTTTTCCATTGATTTTTAGATAGAGTGGAAGGGAGGGAGGAAGGCTGGGAGAGAGAGAGAAACATCGATGTGAGAGAGACACATGGATTGGTTGCCTTCCGCATGACCCGGACCACGGCTGAGGGGTTGAAACCTGCAACCAAGGTGCGTGCCCTTGACCGGGAATCAAATCCCAGACCTTTTGGTCCGCAGGCCGACATTCTAACTGCTGAGCCAAACCGGTCAGGGCCTTGTTGGTGACTTTAAATATGTGGGGGGCATGTGACCTGGAGGTGCTGAGAAGCCCTGTGACTTGGTGTCTCCCTTCTCTTTAGGGGCTGAAGATCAGCGTGCTCTGGACCCTGTACTACGGGATCCTCAGTGCTTTCGCGCCCGTGTACAGCTGGATCCTGGTGCTCCGGGGCCTGGTGGGCTTCGGGATCGGAGGGGTCCCCCAGTCGTAAGTAAATACCCAGCTCTGGCCTTCCAGCCATGAGCTCGAGGGATGCGATGATGGCTACAGCTGGGCTTCTGGCATCAGGGAGCCATGTGTAACCCGAGAACAGCATCATTCTCGGTGTTGTAATGGTTAACAACAAAAGCAGCACAATAGCTGGAAGGTCGTAAATGTGAAATAATAAAAAGAATAGATCCAGCATGGATTGGACTTGACTCTATGTCACATCACAGCAGCTCCAGGAGGTGTGTTATTGAATTATCACAATCTTCATCTTACAGTTGAGGGAACTGAGGCTCAGTGGGCGAGGATCTGGATATTGCACCCCTAAGAACAGTTCAGTGATTGACGTCTTTTTTTCTTTTTCTTTTTTTTATTCCTCACCCGAGGATACTTTTCTATTTATCATCAGATAGAGTGGGAGGGAGAGAGACAGAGAGAAACATTGATGTGATAGAGCCACATCGACTGGCTGCCTCCCTCACGACCCGACCAGGGCTGGGGACGATCGCAACCAAGGTACATGCCCTTGACTGGAATCGAACCCGCGACTTATTGGTCCATAGGCTGACGCTCTAACCGCTGAGCCAAACCAGCCAGGGCCAGCAATGGACTTCTTGCGCCTGTGAATCATCACTGGGGAAGCCTGGGGGAGATGCTCCAGAAGAGTAATGTTCCTGCTGCAGTAGTGTGGCTAGACCATGGGCTCTGAAACCAGATGACCTGGTTCGAATCCTGGCTCTGTCACTTCATAGCTCTGGACCTTAGGCAAGTCACTAAACCTTTCCACCCCTCAGCTTATTCATCTCTACAGTGGGGATGATAGCACCCCTACATCCTGAGGGCACTTAGACTATTAAATGACAACACAAGTAAAGTGCCCAGGAGAGTGCCTGGCAGAACACTCAGTAAATGTGAGCATCCATCTGGTCGGCTTTGGTAAGAAGCTCAGGAGCTCGTGTGGTGGACGATGGACTCAGTGTGTAATTGTGAGCAAAATAAATGGGGATGGGAGGAGATGGGACCACAGGGATTGAACACAGCAATAAATCCCCGGACTCTTCCTGCACTGAGAGGCTGGAGGGACAGTGAGTGGCTCCCAGTGCTCCTCGTTCCTTCCCTCCCTTCTCATCATTGATCTCTGCATGGCTCTGCAGAGCAGGCATTTGCTGGATCCTCCTGGATCTGGGATGAGCTAAAACCACTGGAGTGGAAGCAGAGGCCATTAAGCCAAACCCATAAACCTGGGCTGGTGGGGACTTGTGGCCCGTGCACTCCGCTTCAGGCCCAGCCTCAGGAATTCCTGCAGACACAGCCGCCGCCCCATTCACGGGCAGTTCACCGTCTAGGGCACAGTTGTCCCCTAGAGGCCGGGAGGAATACAATCACAGAAGTCCACCTCAGATTCCTTTCGCTGGGATGCTCGGGGAGGTGACAGCAGAACCAGCCTCCAAACAGCCACCTGGATTTTCTTCCCCCATGAGGGCAAGGAAGAGAATTTCGTGTTCTCCATGCCCACGGTGACGCTTGTTCAACACGGTGGGATGAGAAGCACTACTTTCGCCTTCCTCCTCCACGTTTTCTGGAAATGGCATAAAAGGAATAGGAAATAGGAAAGTCTGCCCCGGTGCTGGAAAGAAGGAGGGTGTCATCAGCACACCAGAAAACTTGAGGAACCTCTGGAAGATTGTAAGCAGGGACTCCAATGGCACTTACCAGAGGAGAGAGAAACCACCTCCTCAAACTGCGAACGGGAGAGATCTTTGAGGAGAGAGAACAGGACACAGGGAAATAAAATAAAGAACACAGAGTGGCTGGGAGGGCCTTTACCCCTACCCTTATGTTGTGAGGGTCCCCAGCTTACCTACCTGCTCCCTGCCCCCACGCCCCCAATCTCATGTCTCTCCATTTAGCTGTTCATTTCCTGAACACTGCTATAGCCTTCCTGTTGGTTTATTGAGCTATTACTACACACCAGGTACTGGACTATGTGCTTTATACATGTGGGCATTTAAAAACTCATAAAACCTTAAGACATAGAGCCCTGGCCGGTTTGGCTCAGCGGTTAGAGCGTCGGCCTGCGGTCCTGAGAGACCCGGGTTCGGTTCCCGCTAAGGGCGCGTACCTCGGTTGCAGTTTGTCCCCGGCCCTGGTCGGTTGTGCGGGTGGCAGCCACTCGATGTGTTCCTTTCACATCGATGTTTCTCTCTCTCTCTCTGTTCCTCTCTCTCCCTCCCACTCTACCTGAACAAAAAAAAAATGGAAAAATGTCCTCGGGTGAGGATAAAAAAACAAACAAAAAAACCCCTTAAGACATAGATATTATTATCTCCATTTTACATGTAAGAAAACTGGAGCTTTAAAGAACTTTAGTAACACACCCAAGGTCACACAACTAGTAAACCACAGAGCTGAGATTTAAACATCACTTGATCCTCCAAATGTGTTCCCTTAACAACTTTATTCTGTAGCTCTTTTGTCTATGAGGAAAGCACATAAAAACCATAAACAATCCTGGCTGGTTTGGCTCAGTGGTTGGAGCGTTGGCCCGTGGACCAGAGAGGCCCGGGTTCGGTTCTTGCTAAGGGCATGTACCTCGGTTGCAGTTTGTCCCCGGCCCTGGTTGGGTCGTGTGGGTGGCAGCCATTCGATGTGTTTCTCTCACATCAATGTTTCTCTCTCTCTCTTCTTCCCTCTCTCCCTCCCACTCTATCTGAAGATAAATGCAAAAATGTCCTCCGGTTAGGATAAAAAAAAACACAAACAAAATTATAGAAATAACCACCAAGAGAGCCACTGGCTTCCCAGCTTTTTTACTTCAGCCATTTACATGAAAATGATCGTCTTAATTATACAATGTTCTTCTCCAGTTATAAAAATGGCTCCCCTAAGTTCATTATTTGGAAACTTTTAGTTGAAGACATTTTTATGTAATTAAATGTAACTAAGAGTCTCCATTCATTTAGAATAAATAACTTTACTCAATTACACCACCTCACAAAACCAAATGAGTAGAACTGTGCTGTACAAATTTTATTTATTTATTTTTAAATACATTTTTTTCTTTATTGATTTTAGAGAGAGAGGAAGGGAGAGGGAGAGAGAGATAGAAACATTGATGAGAGAGAACATCAATTAGCCACCTCCTGCATGCCCCCCACTGGGGATCGGGCCCACAACCTGGGCATGTGCCCTGACCAGGAATCAAACTGGCGACCTCTTTGTGCGTGGTAGTCGACGCTCAACCACTGAGCCACACTGGCTAGGCTGCTGTGCAATTTTTAAAAGCCCAACCATCAGCCCTGGTCAGTTTTCTCAGTGGTTAGAGCATCAGCCTACAGACTGGAGAGTCCCAGTTCGGTTCCTGCTAAGGGCACGTACCTCAGTTGCAGTTTGTCCCCGGCCCTGGTTGGCGTCGTGTGGGTGACAACCACTCAATGTGTCTCTCTCACATGAATATTTCTCTCTCTCTCTTTCTCCCTCTCTCCCTTCTGCTTTATCAGAAGTCCTTATAATATACTCTGAATTCTCAGTATAAATACAAATTATATTATTTAAAATATTGTAATTAAATTTTTTCCTTTTAGTGTTATTGATATATAATTGACACACAGTGTGCTGTAAGTTTAAGGCATATAGCATACTGACTTGACTTACATATCTTGCAAAATGATTGTGCCTCAGTAAGATATGGTAACATTCATCATCTCATATACAAATTAGATGATTAATAAGGAGCCCATCCCTCTGCCTTGCTTTGTGCTTTTCTATGTTTCTCCTTCTCTTTCTTCTTTCCTTTTGTTCTTCCCTCAAAGTTGGTGTTCACATTGGTTTTTGGTGATAGCAACGATGATAGCATTAATAGTGATGATGATAATGATGATAATGATGATGTTAATTCAGTGCTTGCCAGGTGCAAGGCCTGGCTAAATGCTCTTTTCACACTACCTTATCTTGTCCATTGAACAATCGATTATCCCCATTTTACGGATAAGAAAACTGAGGCTCAGAGATCGTAAGTGCCTAGCTTGAGGTCAGATCGTTATTAAGTGGAGAGTGGGAGTTACTTTTGCTTTGTAACAGATCATCCCAACACTTATGGCTTAAAAACAATGATTTATTTGACTTGGATTCAGCAGGCAGGCAGTTTACTTGTTCTGGTCTCAGTGGGGCTTACTTACGCGTCTTTAGTCAACCAGTGAATTGAATGGCAGCTGGCGAGGCTAGCGTGCCCACAGCTGACTCCTCTGTGTTCCACACGCCTCTCATCCTCCAGCTGGCTAGCCCAGGCTCCTGGTCACGTGGTACCAGGGCAGGGGTCCACGGGTAAGCAGAAGCCACAAAGCCTCTTGAGGGCCCAAGCTTGGAATTGGCACAGTACCACTTCTGCAACATTCTGTTGATCAAAAGCAAGTCACAAAGCCCAGATTCAAGGGCTGGGGAAATAGACCCTGGATGGAGTGAGCTGCAAAATCTCATTGCAAGGAAGCACAGATACAGGGAGGAAAAATTGTAGGGCAACATTTGCAGATGACCTACTGGTTCAAATCCAGGTTGCCCAATGCCAAAGCTCTTTCATTAGAACAAATATTGGGAAAGAGTTCTGAGCTTGCCCAGTCAGAGGCCCTGGTAAATCATTAATGTCCATGGGTCCGGAGTACTGATTTGGAGATGCTTCTGGGGACGTAGAATGGGCAGTTCTGAGCAGGGGCTTTTTTTTTTTTTTTTTTAATTTTTAAAATTGATGTGAAAGAGAGAAGAGAAAACAAGCGAGAAAGACATCAATTTGTTGTTCCACTTATTCATGCATTCATTGGTTGATTCTTTTTTCTTTTTCATCCTCACCTGAGGATTTTTTTCCATTGTTTTTTAGATAGAGTGGAAGGAAGAGAGAGAGAGAAACATTGATTCAAGAGAGACACATCGACTGGTTGCCTCCCGTACTACCGCCACCAGGCCAGGGATCAAACCTGCAACACAGATACGTGCCCTTGACTGGGAAT